AGCAGAGCTTTAGAAAGGGTCTGGGTTTTAAACAACCGGCCGGAAACCCTTCGCAAGATCTTACCTTAATTCTTTCAAAGATTCATTGGCCTTGTGGTTCCTTCCCAGATTGAGAGTCTTAAAGACACCATAATGTTTTAGGGAAACCAGACCCCATCAGCGCAAAATCAGGGTTCATTTCTCACCGAATCAAGATGTTTCAGAACTCATAGTTGCCGTGCTTATTCCTAAGTGGTTGAGATGCCAAGGCAGAAATCTCCAGACTGCCTTGAAGACTTGCAAACCCAGACAATGGCTTTCAGAAGGGTTACGCGGGCACGCCAGAAGCTTCCCTTAGAAAAAGTTCAGTTGTCCTCAGGGATTACAGTGAAAGTCACCCTTGAGGAGAAATTCACCCTCTAGCTAAAGTCCTTTGACTGAGCCTGACTTGTTAGGTTTTAGGGAGATAGCCCATAGAGGATTTGTTTCTTTTATCACTATGGAAACAGAATGGTGGCACCTCATTGGCTCAAAGCTCTCTGTTCCTAACAACAGAAGATCGAGGAAGCAGCCGGTTAAACGGTTAAATCTTCACATTCAAGTCAGTGTCCACTCTCAACAGCAGGGAATTCATGTAAGATTTTTACTTCAGTATCAGATGTGAGATCGAAGAAGCTTAATTTCCAGAGCAATAGACTTACACAGGACCCCTGGGCTTTACTTACACGTGGCCACAGTCCCGGGATTTTGAAGTTGATTTTTAACTTTCTCTGTTTTCTCAGAAACCTAGAACTAACTACAGGTGGACATTTCCTTCTTTGAAGGTCAGCCTTTAAGACCTGTGGCAGTCCATAGAAACAAAGCCAATTTTTGGCTACCTGTGGTTTCAGTTTTTTCCCCCTAACCAATGCTGATCTTGCCGAATAAAGCAAAGCAAAACAAAACCCCCAAACAACCAAACCAAAAGAGTGCTCATTCATTTTTATTCTTCTGCAGCTCACGAAAAGACACACATTTTATACTGAGGTTCACAATACCCTATTGCTTACTACCTGGTTTGCCTTTTATAAATCAAGACTGATTGTAAAACCCATTAGACTTCCTGGTCCTGAGATGGTTCATATCTCATAGTTTACAAAAAGCTGGAAGTTCTCGAGCTGCGCGCATCCTCCTGAATGCCAGTGTGGCTAGGCATGGTGGCAATACCTCAGTCCTGTGCTCTGTGGAGCAGAAAGGCTAATGGACAAACAACTCAATAAATGTTAACTCAATTGTGGGCTGGAGAGATGGCTCAGCGGTTAAGAGCACCATCTGCTCTTCCAGAGGTCTTGAGTTCAATTCCCAGCAACCACATGGTGGCTCACAACCATCTGTAATGGGATCTGATGCCCTCTTCTGGTGTGTCTGAAGATAGTGACAGTGTACTAACATACATGAAATAAGTAAATCTTAAAATTAAAAGAGAGAGAGAGAGAGAGAGAGAGAGAGAGAGAGAGAGAGAGAGAGACTCAATTGCCCTTCTGCTCTCTGGCAACAAGAACTTCAACCAGTGTATGGGTGAGTGACCAAAACAGGTGGAGGGAGACAGAGAAACCATGTAGAAGTGTCTCAGAGGCCTGATGAGTCTTAGATCTGTGCCCACAGTGGACAGCACAGGCTGGGATGTGGGAGGAAGGGAAGAAGAGCCATTGAACTCCTGGGTCTCCAGCTCCAGTGATGAACTGCTGTGTTAGTGTCGTCCACTGGTAGGAGTATGTTAGGGATGAGCAGATTTGGGAAGAGACTGTGCATTCTGTTTTGGACAAGCTGAGGTGCCAAGAGGAACACCTAACTGGTGATATCCACTGGAGAATTTATTAAGCGTCCCATAAGTTCAAACGAAGAGCCTAGAAACAGATGTAGTGGTTGATGAGGGAGCAGGTGAACACATGGGGACAGTGACTCATAAGAAGACAGCCCAGAGGCAGTGTGCTCAGTGAGAGGACTCAGCCACAGGCCTACCAACTGGTTTCTGCTATGCCATTCAGTTTTAAGTGAGCAGTAGCTGAAAATGGAGACATGAGGACAGTAGACGGTGAAGGGAACTCCAGATGCTTGCCTCAAGCACCGATCTGTTAGCATGACTTCAGTTGTTTTCTTGTGGTGGGCTGATAGAGGCAGGCTCTGTCACCCGTTGAGCTACGTGGCCAGCACTAATGACACTATTGGGAAGTCCTGCCACCCCCAGTCCCCCATCCCCACTCCAGCCTCAATACAGTTACACTTTTGTCAGCTCCAGAACAGCAGAGGGGCATGAAGTGAAGGCTTTCAAAGGAATGTAGCATTCACAGTGGTGTCTTTCCTCAAGGCCCAGAGGGAACCTGCTTAACATTCTAGTTAGCTGCGCTATCAGACTTGGTTTGCAAATGATTTGTGTGATGTTGCTGCCCTCGTGAGGTGGCAAATGTGATGGGGCAGGAGCAGCTAGCAGCTTTGCATTTATAGTGTGTGTTTGCTGACTGTGAGAACTGACGAGGAAGGCAGTGTTCTCTTCAGAGGCTTGCAAAGATTCCGGGGCACTCAGCTGCTGTTGGCTGCTTTTTGACTTTCAAGTTCTGACTTTAGGATGTTGTGCTCTTGGACTCATTCAGCTGTTACCAAAAGGTTCCAACCGAGGAGCTACAGAAGTGTGAAAGCTTGCGATTCTGCCATCACACCCAAGAGGGACCGCAGCTGGGGTTTCACTCCTCCCTCTCCTCCACTCGACACAGCACAGGCAGGCTTCAGACTGACAATCCCACTGCTGTCTCCCAAGTGTTGGGCTCACAGGCATCACCACACCTGGTACTTCCCTTAAGAGGAAAGCTGGCAGGGTTTGGATGCTTTGAGGATTTGTGTTTTGTGTTGCCAGCAGGCAGGGCAGTGACAGCTACCCCTCGAGAGCACAAGGAGGGACTGGGGTGGCAAAGGCAAAGCAGAGGAAGGGGAGCTGTGCGAAAGGAAAGTGTTCCATAGTTTTTCTCTTTTTTTCTTCCTTTAATGCTTTAATTTCTAATTGCACTTGCTAAAATTTCTGGGCTATTATAATGTCTGAATGTGAATAAGAAGATCAAGTTTTGTGAAGTAATATTTCTTTTGAGTTGGCATATTTTTCACTAACACCTCATTCTTTGGCACACTTTGCATGCTGAAAAAATTTTTTTTAACTATGGCTGGTGACACCACTTACCAGCCTGTACTGAGACATTTTTTTTTTAAAATTTGAAATTGTTGTGGCATTTGGCCCTTCATATAAAAAATTGAGAAAACAAAACGATGCTAGCGTTTGTCAAACTTAATACAGTGAGGACAGAAGCCAAGGTGACACTCAAAGCCTTCAGTCTTGTTAGGTTTTTGGATGCATGAATGTTGACTAATACTTAATGGTTAAAGAAAACACAAAGATACTGAGAATGTTACAAACATCTTAGGTCAAAAAGTAGAGTTTTAGCCCAGCATGGTGGCACATGCCTTTATTTTCAGCCCTTAGGAGGCAGAGGTAGGTGGATCTCTGAGAGTTCAAGGCTAATATTGTCTATAAAGCAAGTTTCAAGCCAGCCAGGCCAGAAAAGCTGTCTCAAAACACTCTCCCCCAAATAGTTTCATACTTTGTTGTTTTTTGAACAAAATCTCAATTTTTAGATTTTGCCAATGAAGACTCAGGAGCCAGTTGCTAGATGAAAGCCTGCTAGCTCAAAGAGGCAGAGAACGCACCCAGCTGACCTTCCTCTTCACCTGTGTCCTAGCAGGAACCCTCACTTCTTAGGGCTCTAAGAAATCCCCCTTCAGACTGAATGTCTCTCTCCCTTTCTACTTCCTGCGTGTCTCTCTATCCGTCCCCCTGACTCCCTCTTCCTGCGCGTCTCTCTATCCATCCTCCGGACTCCCTCTTACTCTCCCTGTTGTTTTCTTAACAATCCCATGTTCACTTTCTGTCAGCTGGTTGCTTGCTTCACCTCTTGACCTCTAGTTGACTTTATTTAATCCTGTTTACAATATTCAGGCAGAAAGCTCTTGGATTAAAGATGTGTGCTAGAGATAAGCCACAGAACAAGTAAAAACAGGTTTTTCCAGTAAACAACACAACCTCAGGGTTCACAGTGTGATCAAATATCCTGCAAGCAATACTTCATTTTCAAAATGACCACAATTTAGTATGGATATGAATCTTAAAAAATACAGGAGGGGATATATTGTTTATTTTTGAGACAGGGTTTCTGGGGGGTGAGGGTAAGAAACACACTCCTAGCTGTTGTGGAAATTGCAGATGAGCCTGGCCTTGAACTTAGAGATCTACCTGCCTCTGCCTCCTGAGTGCTGGGAGTAGATACAGCTCAGTTGTGGGGCACTTGCCTACATACAAGTGGGGCCCTAAATTCAACCCCAGTACCACAAACAAAACAATACAGAAACATACTTGTAAGGGAGAAACAAGGATATTGAAAGATCTTTTCTATTGATTCTAACACTTAGAAACAATTTCTAAATAGCCACGAGATCAGAAAAATGTTAACTACTGGAAAGAATTGCTTCATATTCTGACTCTTCCCACATTTACTATCTACTTAGCAGTACTTAGCTAAGTACTTAGCAGTACTTCTATTGTTGGCTGATCTGATTTTGGTATGGAGTTACTGTGGCATAAACTGAAGGTGTCCTCTACTTCTAGCAGTACTATGAGGACTGGCAAGGGGCTCAGTGGGGAAAGGCACTTGACGCCAAGCCTGACCACCTCAATTCCTCTCCCAGAAGCCACGTAGTTGAAGGCAAGAACTGACTCCTGAAAATTGTCTCTGACCCTCAACTTCATCCCCATATTAATAAAAAATCTTAAAAGTAAAAAAGAAAAATCTATAAAATATTAGATCTGCTTACTACTTGACTGTTAATAAATTTTTTGGTATTTGTTCAAGAAAATAATGGATGTTTTTTCATAAAAACAAACATACAGACTCTATGCTGGATTGTGTAGGGCTGAAACAAAAATCACAGGGAGACACAGAACAATTGAAGAAGCCTCATGTTTATTACCTGATTTACAATTTATTATCTGATTTACAATTGGTAAAGCAAAGGAAGGTGCATAAAAAGCTATTTGACAAGTCATGTTCCATATGTGACACAACAGTATTTTCCTGGAGCCTTCAGGACCCCATGCCCGGGGCCACACTTGGCAGTGGACTAGTGTGCGTGCCTGTGGTACACTCTGAGCACAAGTCTCTACACACCTGATGGCAGAGAAGGCCCCAGACAGACAGCCCTAGCTCCAGATGTCAAGCTGATGTGAGAACCACCTACTACTAATTATGCACTAGGGTTTTGGAATACTGTGTAAAATGTGCCTTCAACAGATAGGCTCTTGTGAGCTTCTTCTAACATCCTCCCCTGACAGAGTCTGATCATTTATGTCAGACCAAGGGCAAGCACAAGACTAAAAAATAAAACCCACTTAATTATCAATGGCTATTTACATAAGATTTGGGATCTTCAAAAATTCAGGACAATTTTAATTCTGAGCTCAAGGAGACTCTCTGAACAGGTAACAGGCTACTCGGAAGTACCTGAGAAATCACCACAGAAAATCCTGAAGGAGAAAACTCAGTTGAGTTTTCCCAGGCAAGCATGAGAGTACAGCTGACATTGAATGAAAAAACAAAACAAAACAACCCTCCCACCCACGAACAGTACTGAAATGTAAGAGTCCTGTGGAGGGAGAACTCACTGGAAGGTTCTAGTTTTTGTTATAGTTCACAGATAGTCCCATGTAACAGGTTCTCAGGCTGTACCAAAATAATTTTAGGTGAAAACTGAAAATCAGCAAAACCCAGTTTTAAGACAGGATTCACTTTCTGAGACATGCATGCATGGGTACAATTTGTTCTGACAGAACATCAAGATTAATCTTCAAAACCCCAAGCCTGGTTTTCTTTAATTAGCCATGTTCATCTGGCTGCTAAGACACAACTCTGCTTCCAGTGGTCACTTAGGCACTGACAAAAGTACAGAATTTTTGTCAACACAGAACTCTACAAAATCTAGTTCATTATCGTGGTTTATGTACCATGTGTATGCCTGGTTATGTAATACACTACTACCTCCTCAGTCCCATGCTTCCCTACTCTGTGCTGTTCCTTCCTTAGAAGCTGTAAATGCCCAAGCAACAGGAAGAGTCCTTTCTTCAGAACCGAGGCAAAGCTTTAAGGGTCTGCGGAGGGAGGTATTCAGCTATTTATAGACTAGAAATGCAAATGCTGTTTTTAAAATGTGACTTGGAATATTTGGGAAATTTAAACACCAGAATTCTTGCTAATGCCTGCTTCAGGCAGGGTCACTATCTAACCCAGAGTCCTTCATAAATGTGTGTGTGATGAACTGTTGACAGCAGCTAGACTGGGCGAAGGGGGCGAAAGGGGCAAAAGGGGGGCAAAGGGAGGGGCATCTTTCCACCCTTTGTCTCTGAGAAATTTAGAAAAGTTATATTAAAGATTATAGAAATATAGAAAACCCACATGTTCTTACCATTGTGTGGCTGCTGGCTTTTCTAACCCTCTGAGTGCACCTCTTCTTGGGGAGGCGGCTTAAGAAAGACAAAACTCCCTGGCAGAAAAGAATTTCTCTCAAGCAAAATATTTGCAAGTTAAGCACCAAGAGGACCAAGTAAAAGACTTCGCCTTGACAAACAAGACAAGCAGTTCCACTCTCATCTTCTCCTCATGTGCTTAAACAACCCCATGGAGACAAAACCATGTCATCTGCAGAGGCAGACCGTGACCTGCCACCTCAGAGCACAGATCTCCTCCCCAGAGTGAGGCCTGCATCACAGGCTGAAGGCTGAAACCCCAGCTTCAGGCCTCACTTGCTTTTCAGCTTGTTAAAAAAGAAATCAGAGGAAAAGAAGTCTTGGCTCTCCCATGAACAAGACCCTTCTCTACTCCTCCAGATACCAAGAGACAGGCAGATGACTTAATGTACACAAGGAAAATAACAAAATCTAACAAAAGCACACTTTCAAAGCAAGCACCTGGGTTTTACTTCAGTTTATAATTTAATGTGCCTGAGAATTTTTGTGCAAATACATGTCATCTTTCATTAAAAATATGCATAGCACACTTTGGAAAAAGCTAGTTACAACTAACTTTTCTTTAAAAAATTAAATATATAAATATACAACATAATCTACTGCCTACTGACTGATTGCACTTCTGGTTTAAACCCTTCTGGCCTCCAAGGAAAACTGAGAAACACGCATTTATGTTTGCATTCCTGGGCCACCGTATTGTCCAGAAGAAATATCCTAAAAAACGTTTCTGATTCCAATTTACCCTTATTTTCCTCTTAAATCCCTCCAAGCCACTAGTTATTTTATTATTTTGTTGTGTTGTACAAAAATACAAGCTTAAAAAACTGAAGCTTTAGTCATCACAAATACAAAGGAATCTATCTGTGTGGTGTTTGGATTCTTAGTGCCTCAAAGTCTCCAAATAAGAAAGTCTCCATTTTTGATGTAGAAGACAAGGTAAAATTCCTTATTTTGCTACTGGTGAGAGTGCACCACTGAATGGATACACTTGACCAGGGCCCAGCAGGGACGTTAGCTTCCACCAGTTCAGTAACACACAATTGCGCATGCACCAACTCTCCGGAACAGCCTCCTCTCTGCCTGGCTGTGCCAGGTTTCCTTCCTAGGCAGGCGCTTCCGGCTTGTGTTCTCTAGGGACAAAGGTGTCAGCAGTTTAGCATTACTGTCACGTTTCGATAGAATTTGGTTTATTTTTCTATTCACTTTTTATTTCCAAGGCAAGGAAACGTAGCTGAAGGAACAAACTAACCCTTTCATTTCTGTCTCCAAACTGTTCGTCACGTGTCCCCATTTTGTTTACTAGATTCCATCCTCAAAGAGCCTCTTCCAAACATCCTATCCCTTCACTATGCCCTCTCTACATTCACAGTCCTTCTGCAACATTCCTTTTCTCTCAGGTTAGGCCGGTCCCCATTCTCAGTGCATCTCTTTCCTTCATGTGCTAATTTATTCACGAGGTCAGTTAATTTTGAGCCTCAGTCTTCCTTCAGGATACTCATTTTGGGGGAGGTTGTGCAAACTGGGGCTCCAAAGCTACCCATCATGACTGGAAGACTCTGATTCCTCCTTAGTCCACCCAATAAACTGCCACCTGAATTTAAATAAACAGCAGAGTCTGGTTTTTGAAGACCCATTTCTGCCTCTCGGCTTTTCCCGTTCTCCTGGGGATCAGGGGTCTTGACCACCCTGGCTATTCCCAGCCTCTTCAGCCTGTCTACCAAGTTCATCTTCAGCTGGCCAACATCAGGAGGGGCCCTTGAAGGTCTCAAGCCATACATTTCTTGCAGGAATGTTTCAGCTGGTCGGGAAGCCAAGAAATTCTCAGAGACATGGACTCGGGGTTCAAAGGGCAAGGGGGAGGAGCATGGTGATTGCGACGGGGAATTTGGTGGCGTGGAAGGGGTGGCCAGGGCCTTGGGGCGAGGCTGGAGGAGGAGGTTTTCTGAAGCCGGGCTGTGGTACACTTTAGCGGAGATGCCTCGCTCCTGCAGGAGTTTGGCTAAGCTCCTCGTGCTACTGAACGTTATGGTGGAGTCCCGCCGGTTTGTGATGGCTTCACCAGTGCTTAGTCGGTAGGACGCAGCAGGAGAGTTCACAGCCGTGCTGGATGAGCTGCTTGCACTACTCCCACAGGACAGTGATGGGAAACCGGAGCTGGAAGAGAGGTGTAGGCAAGTGCTTAGGAGTCAGAAACACTGGCCAACATTTTCCTTTCATGGATGATCAACAAGTTGCGTTTCAACTTTATTTCACTGAAAAATAGTGTCTACTCAAACTTTCATTTTCTCAAGCAGTGTTAACTCTGACCGGTGGCAACATATGGACATTCATGAACTGCCTTGTCAGTCTCCCTTCAGAATGTGGATTTTTAAGAAATTTAGAATAATGAAAAGCTCTGACATCTATTAAATCTTGTTCTTATTCTATGCTTAGTTAAGACCAAAAAAAAGAAAATCATATATTTAAGGTCATGGTGGAATGGAAGGACTTTTACCTGGCTTTCTTCTGTGAACAAAGGTTATCAGGATTTAATGCATTTTCACTGGTTCAAAATGATCACACGTATCATAGTATCAGATTTTTAAAGATCATGAACTAAAGACAAGTATAAAATTAACAAGCTAACCAAAAACCTTCCAGAGCACTGACTTGTACAAGAGGAACAGCACTCAAGAAAATCTGAGATTCCTTGGTCAAAGCTCAACTGAGAACCTCTGGGCTTTCTCCCACTTCACAGCAGAACTTCTTGCCCCTCCCCAGCTGTGCTCTTACAAGAGTCCCTTCACGAGGCAAACTTCTAAGGCTTCTATTGGTGTCTAACAAATGTTGAAGTCCTGCAAATGTGTTCATGAGGGCAGCCGCTGGGACCTTGACTGGGTACCACCTGGTGGTCTTGACGGCTTCCATCTTTCACATGCCTGAACTGCCATCTTATTTCTCTCCTTGTTGCAGCTAGAGATTTCAGACTCAAACTCAAGGGGGGCCTTAGGGATGGTCTTCCTGGTGTGACTCACATGCTGGATCTTACTCTTCTACCTACCATACTCTTAGCACTGGCTTGCCTCTGCAGCACCTTTCTTCTTTATTTTTGATTATACTTTCCCTAAAAAGACCAAAGTGTCTCTGAACACCACCTCAGATTCTGAATTGGCAGGCTAGAACCAGCTTCAATATGGCTCAGGAAGTGAAGTCTGTGTCTTGAATAATTTGGCTTTGGCAGCTGATGTCATAATTCAATTTCTTCACTTTATCCAGCATATTCTGCCTCACAAATAGTCACTGAACACTAATTAAAACCCTGGGAATTAAAACTGAAGGTAATTTACAAAGAACACTGTGTGAGCCTGATTTCCCCGGCCCTCTTACCTAGGGGTGACCTGAGTGACGTCAGAGGGATGTAAGATCCTGCAGGTGGTGAAGGTGAATGTCGAGTTCGTGAATGAGAGACACTTTCCTGGGTTCGAAGTTGCAACTGAAATAAGAGATGTTTAGAAAGCCAAACACAGAATTGAAAGACGGGGTTAATAACATAAAAGGCTCATCGTTATTTTGTTAGCAATACAGCATTTGTCAACTGCCTTTGTAGTAGAAAGTTCCTAAATACGGAAATGAAATATAAAGAATACACTAGTATTAACTGATTAGTATACAACTGAACTCTTAGCACTTTAAAATTAAAAAAAAAAAAGGAGTAAAAAATAGCTTAGAAATGAGAGAAAAAGACACTGAAAACACACTAAGAAAATTCAGATTTAGTTATCTAGACACCTAGGTCAGACTATTTCTCTGGTTCTTAGAGTATTGTGTGCTGACTCTAGAACACTTCACAGCAATGAGAGGATGAGGTCTCTTTTGTTTTGTTTTATTTATTTATTATTATTTGATGGGGTTGAGATTTGTATGTGGGCATAAAAGCAACAGTCAGTAAAAATTCTGTCTCCTAAGCACCAACCTCCTTAGCACCAACCAAGGCAGTGACACCAGATTTTGCTTGTATTCTTCATTCTTACACACTCATAGTATTTTTTTCAAAGCCAAACTTATTAAAATTAACACACAAGCTTTAATTATTCAGACTCAGGAATCTGGCAGGCATTTTCTTGGGGGGAAAAAAAAGCTGTCAATATTTTCTGCCAACGACAAATATAAGCTTCAAGTGAAAATCCGTTTTAGAAACTTGTCCACTGCTGAGAGCTTGGAAACACCCTAACATTACAGTCTGCCATGTTGATGTGATTAGTAGTGACACCAATACACCATCTAATGCACAGTGTCAACATCTGGGATCTGGGTAACTGTCTTAACATGCAGAGCAAACATTCAAAGAGAAGGACAAGCACATTTTCATGAAAACACACATGAAAGTCCACTGACAGGTTTCCACACTGATGCGACTATTCAAGAAACTGCCACTTACCCACTTCTCATCTGACTGCAAACAACATCCACAATTCTCGAAAAGGCGATTAAAAGACTTTCCCCCTTTCTAGCTACATACTCACCTAAGAGTATATTTTCCTCACATTTTTCATATAAAACATTGCATCAGACTGAATGCAGAAGTTCATAATGAGAATCTTCAGTTAAGTAAGAAATTAGACTTGCAAAATTGTAAAACAAAATCATTTTCTTACTATATCCAATACAGTTGTTTTTCAGAAACCAGTATTTGTATAACAGAACTTTTATTTTTAAATGGGTTAATTTTTTTATAAGTTCTCAGTTATTCTAATTAGTATCAGTAGTCATAATCTATATAGACAAATCTGAGATTCTCAGGGACTTTAAAGAGCATCAAGGACACTGAGACCAAAAGGGTTGCAAATCACTGACTGACCTGACCTCTCACTCTGCTTAACTTACTTCTGCAGGCAGGTAGGAGAGAGGGGAGGAATAGGAAACGTCAGCCGTGCTGTGGGTTTGTATTATTTTATCTCCACTAATGAGTAAACTCCAGTAAGACTGTGCGGGGTAGCCAGATCACCACAGCAAGACAATGCAATGTACTGGTTTCGAGGCCATATTCAACTGTGCCTCCTCTCACCTGTAACTGGTCCACCTGCTGAGGTCATGGGTGGCAAGAAGACCCCCGTTACTGCTGTGGGCGGTGCAGGCTTCTGCTCCAGTTGAAGAGGCGGCTGGACCTGAAAAGTGATCCCCTCTTCTTCATCCTCCTCTAAATCTGAGATGTGATAGACGACGTCCTTGGGCATCTGTGTGGTGAAGCCTTTAGTAATGACGCCTGGTCGCGGATCAAGAATGGTTCCCAAGTTTGGTTGAGCGAGCTGCTGCCAGTGATGTAGAGTCTGTGATCCTGAACAGGCAAGCAGGACAGGCATGCTTTACATTTCCCACAAATCCTCCACCTTGGAGAAGTTAGAGTTATGTGAATGACAGCAGTAATGAGAGAGATACTTATCAGCGGCTGCACCTTCCCAGGTGGCAAAACCCACCACCCACCCAGCACACTTGCAAGCAAAGCTGGCACTTAGGTTGGAAAAGAACTTGAATTTCCTTGCGCACTTTTCTGCTTGCTCACGACTCTCCTTTCCCGGACTGCCAGGAAGAACAGGGAAAGGCAGGTGATAAGGTAGAAACCATGTCCCTTTGGTTGCAGCCCATGTGACTCTGATGACAAGCATCCCATGCCTGTGTACAGTATGTCACATTTAACTGTGTCCCTGTGGTAATTTCATCCTGAAATCAGCAACTCTAACCAACACTTGGATCAAAGTAGGAGTCTACAGGATATCTATTTAATCTTTTGTTTTAAAAGTAACTTTTAAGCACAGGCTTAGAGAATCACTCGTGAACCACTAATACACCATAAATCAGACTTTTTTTTTTTTAATATCAGTTGTGCTTCAGGTAAAACTGAACTGAAGGAGAAGAGGACGGATGTAAGTGTGTGGCTCTAGGCAGGGGCACTCCTCCAGCTGCTCCTCTTCACTCATCACAGCTGCTGCTCTCACCACGCAACTGCTACCAATGGGACTCCATAGCAAAAGTAAGGCTAGAGGCTCCCCACTTCCCTCTTCCACTGATACTAAAACACCAGAAAAGAACGAATGGCTAAAGACTTGGTGACTCAGGTCTCATTACTCACTGTCTGCTATGTGGAACAGACAGCCTGTGCACAAGGTGCCATTATAACACAGGTCTCAATTCTAGGAGAGACGTCTAACATACACACATAAAAGTTGTGACTGACTTATTACCTTCTAGGGGCTTGACAATCTGTAACTTTTCTGGCATGAAGCCTCGAAGGCAGCCGGCACTACCGAGGTCTGTGGTCTCTGACTGGTCAGTGCAGATTGAGGCAAGGTTCTCTGTAGGAGCATCACAGCTGCCAATTTCTTCCTCTTGCTCAGCCAGAATCTGGATCTTCCGTTCCCATTCTTCAGCAAAGAACTGCTTCTCACTTAGGTAGTTCTGTCTTCTCAGGCTAAGGCGATGCAACGCTGTAGCCAGATCACTGTCGTCAGGGGCTCCTGGGGGGTTTGTGGGCTGAGAGTTCCTGTGGGAAGATCATATTCACGATGAGACTGTAGATTGTGAGGACAATCTAGACCTATCCTTTCTACAGTACTGGACATTAAAAAAGACTGACCTTAAGAATGAGGTGTTTCTTAGCCATTTGAGATACAGAAATAACAAAAAATCATCAACAATGCTGTTAACACAACAATCACTGCAACACATTGTACTGGCCGGTTTTGTGTGTCAACTTGACACAAGCTGGAGTTATCAGAGAAAGGAGCCTCCTTTGAGGAAATGCCTCCATGAGATCCAGCTGTAAGGAATTTTCTCAATGATCAAGTGGGGAGGGCTCAGCCCATTGTGGGTGGTGTCATCCCTGGGCTGGTGGTCCTGGGTCCTATAAGAAGGCAAGCTAAGCAAGCCAGGGGAAGCAATCTAGTAAGCAGCACCCCTCCATGGCCTTTGCATCAGCTCCTGCCTCCAGGTTCCTGCCCTGTGTGAGTTCCTGTCCTGACTTCCTTTGGTGATGAACAGCAATGTGGAACTGTAAGCTGAATAAACCCTTCCTTCCCCAGCTTGCTTTGTGGTCATGATGTTTTGTGAAGAAATAGAAACCCTGACTAAGATACACATCCTTTCCAACTATCTCTAGAAAGTAAATTATGTTGTGCTTGCTAATTTCTCCGTATCATTTAATTATGAAACTGCAGATGTGTTTACTTTTATATCCAGGTCAGGTACTTCCAAAGTAAGTATTAGCACGGTTCACAGAATCTATTACTGAGAGAAAGAGGTATCATTGCTTTATATAATTGTAGATGAAGAGAAATGCTAGCTATACACTATTACATGCTTTTAATCACAAAAAGTGTGAGTAGGGTGTGGTGGCACATGCCAGTAATTCCGGCACTCAGGAGACTGAGGCAGGAGAATCATGATTTTGATAGCAGCCTGGGCTGTACAGGAAAACATCCCACCTCAAAACAAACAAACAAACAAACAAACAAAAATAAACAAAAAAAGAAAAGCAAGCAAGCAAGCAAGCAAGCCAGCAACAGGTGCTGAGAAAGGTGTGAAAAGATTCATTTGGAGCCACAAACATCCCTGAAAATGCATGATATCTGAGAGGAGGCAAGGGCTACACATGACATGTAGTCCCATGACAGGTGAGACGCCCCTCTCCCGGGTGTTTTAGAATTGATGTAGAAGGAGCAGAGTAAGCGAGTGCACACGCCTCCTAACACCACTGTGGCATGAAGCAGGCGTCAGAGTAAGCGAGTGCACACCCTCCTAACACCGCTGTGGCATGAAGCAGGCGTCAGAGTAAGCGAGTGCACACCCTCCTAACACCGCTGTGGCATGAAGCAGGCGTCAGAATGCAGTGAGGACTGCGAGCTGCAGAACCTTCGGACAATGTGGAGGGATGCTGGGGTCTGAGTACTTGAATCTGGTATGCCAACATGGTAAGGGATGCAGCCTCACCACCAGACCCACCCCCCTTCCTGCCTTACCCTGCAACCTCCGCGCAACTCCCTTGGCTCAGGAGTGTTTTGTCCTCTGTTTGCTGGACACCAGACTCAAAGGGCTTTGCTGTCATGATGACACTTGAACGGTTGGAGCCTGGGATGGGTAGCAGGACTGGGAATGTGACAGAGCGGCCCCGAGTGTCGTTGGCAACCTTGACAGTATCAAACACCCGCTTCTGCTGGGCCCTGTCAGAAAGGAAGCATCCGCTCCTGTCAGTCTCATCCCCAAGAGCGCTTCCTGAGTGCTGTACACATAGACACAGAACCAGGCATAAATCTGTCCCAAGTACTCTTGTTTGGGGAAATTGAGAAAATAACTTTGACACAGGAGAGCTCCCTCATGAGAAGACAATCACTGGGGGAAAAGTGGGAAGCAGATTCACTCCTGACTGGCAGTCATCGCTCTATTGCTCTATCCCTGGATCCTTCCCTCAATCCTGAGAGGTCAACCCAGGACCTCACACTGCCATGCAAACCTCCATCACACGGGCCTGGCGCTTCTTTTAAGTTTCTACACTGATGGAGCAGCAACAGCCCTTCTGACCTGTACTTACTTTTGTTTAAACACAGATTCCTCATCCAAACTCAGCTTCTTACGCATGGTGCCTTCAATCTCAGCTGCCAATGATTCCTAAGAAAAGGAGTAAAGGTTAGTAAAGTGATTACTATGTATGCAGACACACAAACATAGAAGGTCTGACAGGCTGCAGACCAAGACATCTTCTTGCTTTGCTGTAGTTACTGTGCTAATGTTTCATATACTTATGTGGTTTTGACTATCTGCTCAGAGATGAGGGCTCAACCAGCATGGCTCAGTGGTGTTGGACTGAGGATGGTTGGTTCTGACCTGATTTTTAACATCCACAGAAACACAGATGGAGGAATAGATATATATGTCAGGAGCCATAATGGGACAAGATGAATAACTAGCAGGTAATCATCCTGAAATGGCCTGTTTCAGATTATTATATAATCTGCAACAGGTTCGTCCTTATTCAGCAAGGATGTAAGGGATTCACTTTAGGAAAGATTCTGGTATTAACATTGCTTTCCCTGTTATCATTAAACATATATAACAATCACTAATAATAGCCCACTCCTTTGGAGCAGATCTATGCAGATCCACGAAGATGTACTGTCTCATAGTGATGCTATGTAGACAAACAGATGACTTCTGAAGTCTTAATTATGATCCTATAAGAATTACTAAAATTATATCTGTGATTATTAAGCTCTTTTATAGTGGGACTGCTATAGGTCCTTTTCTGATAATCAAAACTGCAATGAGAACTCTGCCAGTCTCCCGAGTGTCACCAGTTAATTACTCTTAGATAGTAAGCAGATTTCTCCTACTCAGAGCACATTCCAAGAGGTTGTAAAACAATTAACCAAAGGTCATAAAAAGAGAACTAATGATTTATTATAGGTGCTAGGACAGAAGATAAAATATTGACTGGGTTTATCTATACAAAACTTCACTAATAGCTTAGTTATGGTTTTCAACTTACAATGACCCTGTGGAGTTAGACAGGTGATGGATGTTAACCAGATAATTACTCCTAATGGATATGCATGTAAACATTCTCTGTTGTAAACTTCTATTTCAATTGATGATTTGATTTTTTGTGTGAACTTGTGATGAACTTTGTAACATGTGATCATGTGTTCTGAACGATGTATAAGTGCTGAGGACAAAGACATGAGAAGCAGGTAGAATAGAATTTCTTCCCTTTCCCCAGATAGAATAGAGCTTTTCCTCCCTCCCCCCACCAACTAAGAATTTTTTTTTCCTTTACTAGATTTTTTTCCCTTTCCCCACTTAGGATCTTTCTGCTTTTCCCCTTTGATAGCTTTCATAGGAAACTTTTTACCACTTAGTAATAAATGCTGTAATCATTTTTCTAAGTGTCCTGTGACTTCTGCCAAACAGGTTGAAAGTTAGATCTGCGCAGTTCCTGCTGAGACAGCACAAAGGCTGCATTGCTTAATCCACCCTTGTTAGGTTTCCGGTGTTAACTGTCTAAGGCAGCAGTTCTTTTATCCTCAGAAAAAGCAAGAGAGCTTTTAGGACTTTTTAGAAGTTACCATCGGCATTTCAGTACAGTTCGAGCTAGAAAGCCCTGAGACCCTCAGACTTTAAAGCCATCACCAGAGTCCTACTTTGTGCAGCCGCCACTACCCGCTCCAGGTCGGGAGGCTCCCAGCATATATATATATATATATATATTACATATAGGTGTGTATGAAACACATACATGTCCTGACTTGATCATCTGAGGGAGTCTGGGAGCCATGATACTTTAGTGGCAAATGGCACATCTGGCACCAGGCTTTGGACTCAGAATGTCATTTCTCAGTGTCACCAAAGCTCCTTGGAGAAATGGTTGACTCCTGGGACAACTTGAGAATCAAAATAAATAATAAAAATGGCATATAATCCACCAAGTAAATAAGAACCCATGCTTCACACTGACTAAACAAATAAATGTTTCAGAAAAGCTCTAGTAAAAGGCCATTAGTAAATACTGAAAAAAACAAAAAGGATGTAATTAGAAAACTGCCAGTTGGAAACTGAAATGATTATCTTTAATTGTCAACTTGGCCCAGTCTAGAATCATCTGGGAAAAGAGTCTCAATGAACAACTTTCTACGTAGGGTTGGCCTCTGGTCATGTCTGTTGGGGGTACTGTTTCAAATAAGCTAACTGAAGAAGCCTTAGCCCACTGTGGGCAGCACCACTCCCAAGGCCAGGGCGGGGGTGGGGGTGGGGGGTGGGGGGAGGTCTGACCTATATAAAAGTAGAGAAACTGAGCTGAGCACAAGCAAGCAAGAGAAGGTGCACCCTTCCTTTTCCTCTGCTCCTGACTGTGGGTATGAGCAGACGGTTTAAGTCCCTGCCCTGACTTCCCACAACAGACTTGCAGACCTAGAATTATGAGATGAAACAAACTCTTTCTCCCCTAAGTTGGTTTTTGTTAGAGAATTGTATCATAGCAACTAGAACAGTAGTCATCACAGAAATTACCAAACAGCCCTGGGTGGAGCTGAAATCAATGGCTGAAAGTTTGATGAAGACATTTACTCTTATCACTTAGTTAACATAGCATCTGCTAGCTTTCATTCATGTACAGTAAATTTAGTAGTGCTAACTTACTTAGTTCATTAATAATATTAACCCTCAAGGGTAAAAAAATCGGCAGATAGCACTTTAACCAAAAATTCATAGTTAGTAAACACTTGACAATAGGATGAAGGCACCTCATGAAATAATCTAACAGTATTTCACACTGAAGTAAGCACATACAAAAGTATCCTGTTTTCTAATTTCTCTGTGTATGCAAGCATGTGTGGAGGTCAGAGGACAACCCAGTGGAGGTAGTTCTCTCCTTCCAGTTTGATGTGGAATAATGGTTTGAATATGGTTGGCCCAGGGAGTGGCACTATTAGGAGGTGTAGCCTTGTTGTAGGAAGTGCATCATTGCAGGCATGGGCTTTAAGATCCTCATCCTAGCTCCTGGAAGCCAGTCTTCGGTTTGCCTTTGGAATGAGATGCAGAACTCTCACCTCCTCTTGCATCATGCCTGCCTGGATGCTGCCATACTCCCACCTTGATGATAATGGACTGAACCTCTGAACCTGTAAGCCAGCCCCCATTCAATGTTGTCCTTATGAGAGTTGCCTTGGTCATGGCATCTGTTCATAGCTGTAAGACTATCTGTTCATAGACTGTAAGGCATAACTAAGACATGTGGGTTCTGGGGATCGCACTCAAGTCTCCAGGACTGTATGGCAAAGGCCTCTTATCCACTGAGCCATCTTGTTGGCTTCCAAGCATATCCTTCAAAGGACATTGTTGGAGCAGGGTGCAGTGGCCTGCCCATGTAATCTCAAGTAGTCAGGAGGCTAAGGCAAGAGGATCACTTGAGCCTGGGAGGTTGGAGTTAGCTTGGGTAATGTAGAAAGATACCTCTCAAAATGAATGAATGAATGAATGAATGAATGAGTATATAAATGAGGAAATGAACACAAACCATAGTTTACAAGTAATAGCCTAAGAGGCATTGTTGGGAGAACATGGAAAGTCTGAGAGGGCTCTGCAGATAAGACGACAGTGTTGTAGAGTCGACTTCATGCTGACAGATGGGTGTAGTGCCATTACTCAAGCATGTCCTTGTCTGTACTAAACACTGGGCCTGTCTTTAGTAAGCACTAAGGGCTAACAGCTTGCTATAAAACAGTTCAGGAAAATAAAAACAATGAACCAACCAACCAACCAACCAACCAAACAAACAAAAACACCGAGAGGAAATAGCAAATATATTAACATGTTAAAAAACAAGGAATCTATGTGAAGAATACATAAACATTCCTTGTACTACTATTTGGAATTTTATTCTAAGTTTCAAATTATCTCAAAATTAAAAATTAAAGAAAAAAAATGCTGAGGCTGTAAGCTGTAGAGCACTTGCCTAGCACGCATAGGTCCTGAGTTCAATTTCCTACAGTGGTAAATAAATAGTGTTTAAAGAAAAAACCCAAACAATATGGTTTAGGGTAAAGGTAAAAGTGCATATCCTAGACTGTTATTCTCTGATCCTCATCAGCTATGACAGGGGAGGGAGTGGGGAGACATGAAGAAGATCATTACTGCAGAGGAGCATAAGGACGGGTCAGCAGAAAGAGTGACCAGGAAAGGAAAGAAAGAAAACCGTTGTTAACAGATATCGACAGACAGACAGACAGACAGACAGACAGACACACACACACACACACACAAATATAGCCTGGCCAGTCTGTGCTACACAGTGAGCTGGAGGCCAGCTGGCAGCAAATACAGACAGTCTCAAAAAGCCATAGTTGCACATACTTTCTCTAGGAACCAGGTGTTAAAATAGCTCTTCGAAGCAATGTGACAAACTCTGGCATAAACTCAATTTTTAATTGAGTTCTACATTCTCCAAATGCTATTTATTAATAAATTAAAAAAATTAAAATTCCCACAGGAGACTTACAGTCTAAGTAGAGTTAGACCTACCAAGAAATATACGCTTTACAGGGAAATGTTTAGATGTGGCAGGTGTGCTGGAAGGCTGATGAGACCCCTGAAACTGACACAGTAGGAAGAGGGAACTCTGAACATTGTCTGAGAGCTTCTGTTGCTTCGATAAACCACCATGATCAAGAGCAACTTGGGGAGGAAAGAATGACTTCTCCTTAGATATTAGAAGTCCATCATCCAGGGATGTCGGGCTGGAACTCAAGGCAGGTAGGGAAACAAGATCTAATGTAGCGGCCATGGTGGTTTGCTCTACCTGCTTTCTTACAGTACCCAGGACCACCAGCCCAGCAGTGGCACCACCAAAATGGCTAGACCCTGCCCATCAATCACTAACAAGGAAAATACCCTCAGGCTTGCCCAAAAGTCTATCTTTTAGAGGCACTGTCTCAGTTGAGAGTCCCTCTTCTCAAATTACCCTAGCCTATGACAAGTTGGCAAAATACTAGCCAGCAAAATGTTGTCTTCTGACCTCCATAATGCACATGACACATGAGCAGGCACATGCCCATGTATATACAACACATGGGGAAAAATTAATTTTTTTTTTTTGGCTAGGGAGATGACTCTTTGGGCAAAGGTGCCTGCTTCCAAGCCTGACAACCTAAGTTTAATCCCTGAGTTCCACATCGTCCTGGAAGGAAAGAACCAACTCCCACAAGTTGTTCTCTGACCTCCACAACTATGCAATGGCTCATGTATATCAAAGCATTTACACATGTATACATGTACACAAAGCAAACAGACATAAAGATTGATAAGTATGGCATCCACAAGTGGTAGACGGTGGGTCTAAGGTAGGACAACCTCACGTGAGTGATCAGTGGCACACAGATCAAAACCCAACTTCCTTAGAGTTTATCTCAAATACTGTAGCAATGTAGAATGTCAACTGTGGACACACAAGTGCTAAGGAAGATGTGGATATATAAATTAAACTGTGACTCCATATTGTGTCCCAGAAACAAGAGCAAAGCATATTCTGTCTTTCCCAGATATCTTACAAATCACACCCTGGAAAACAGAATTTAAACCTCCTTTCTTTTCTTCCTTTTGGGAACATGACATCTTTCATTATTTCTTACCCCTGTAAAAACTCCGTAAGACTGGGAGAAGCAGAGATGAGCAGAAGGGCCGGATTTGCTACGAAGCTCCTTTATTTCTTCTTGGGACTCATGTAACATTCCCAGGCACTCCATGTTTCTGTCCTGTAACTCGTGAAGCTGACGAAGAAAAAAGCAGGACATTTTATTACCTCTCTAGACAACCCTGACTACCGTAAAAACCTTTGTAAAGGCACTTCAAAGGGGTATTAATTTTATCTAGGGCCCAGCAGACTGTATGCATATTATTTCAACAACAGACTCTGAAGCAAACCCAGTAAGAGCATCTTCATGTTGAGCTGCCAGGATCTGAGAAGTCCTGGGCAAGTGCTATAAAGATCCGACTTCTCAAACCTGAAAGGTGGCACAGACCACCGAAATTGTCAAGTCAGTGGCTCATGCCCTAAACACCCATGCAGGAAATATAAAAGTGCTAACCAGTCAGCTTTAGCACAATAGTACATATTCTCATGAACATCACCCTGAGGTCTTTAAGAGGCAAGATCAAGAATCTAGAAAGCGACTCATTTAATGTGAGGGTGTTCCATCAACCAAAACAGCCCCTCCCCCTGTTTGAAAACCTTTTATAATAGTCTGGCAAAAACATAAAATTCAGAGTGTATTTTAACTGAAGACATTTTTCCATGTGTAGCATATGTCCAGTTCTTCAGGATCAGCAGGGATGAGGAAGCTTATTTAAAATGTGCATCACCCTTCCTCCCATTTTAAGAGACTGGCAGCGGACTCCTTTCTTTTCCATGTGCTGTAAAGCTATCTTGAATGAGGAAGACCTGAAACTTATTGGACAGGTGACCCACACCCACTGCTGCATCTGGAAACACCAGAAGCACCATGCACTGGGGAGGGGCAGTATGTGTGTGTGTGTGCACATACTGGTAACATGCTTCAACACACCATCCACTTCCACAGACATCATGCAGGCGACTTTAGAAAAGCTGGTGTGAGACATTCCTGCTCAAAGAGGAACCGGAGCTTCTGCCCACCGTGTCAACTGTGGATGGACAGGATTCAGTACACAGACACAGACATGGACAAACGCTGCCCTTGAGAATCTGGAGCTGTCCCATCATTAGCATGGTGCAGTGGGACTACGACAAAGCTCTGGGGGAGGATAAGCTCTTAAAGCAGCCAGTCTTGGTGAAAGCTAATTGCTTCGGCAGAAGGGCTGAGGAGATTCAGGGGCTGGGGCCTGTCTTCACATAGGGAGGTTCAGTAAATCCTCTTAAAACAAAATGTGGATTTTAAACTGAGGTGGTGGAGGCACACCCAGCAATGGGGAGGCTAAGGATCTCAGGTTTGAGGATAGCCTGGGCTACATAGAGTTTCATGCTATCCTTAGGCTACATAGAACACTTGGTCCAAAGTTATAAAGATAAATAAATTAAAGTAAGAACATATATGCAGTTCTCACTTGACCAACTAAATATAAATTCACAATGGTATCTAGGAATCTATTTAAAACTTGCTGTTCCTGGTGATTATTATGAATGCTGAACTGCCACTAAGTTAAATATAGTATAAAAGTATACAGACAGAATATAAGAAAATTTTGCTATTATGCTTACATACTTGCAAAAATACTTATTAGAAACTATGTTACTAGACTAGTTAACATATGTTGATAAAAAGTACTATATTGAATGGAAGACTTATATATAAACCAACATAATTATAGCTACTTTATTTTTGACAGATGCCAAAAATATATATTTAAGAAAAGCAACAACAACAAATCCCAAAAATCCCAGCTTCTCTGACAAAATAGTGCTGGGAAGCTGGGTCTGTGCAATTGAAGACTGAGACAGGATCACCCTGAACAGAGATCAACTCCAAAACGACCAACAACATGAACGTAAGAGCTGAGACTCAGAGACTTCAAGAGAAAAGTGCAGAAAAGACTTCGACATAGAGGCACAGGCAAGAACTTCTTGAATGGGGCCCCAGTCGCTCAGGAGATAAACAGATGGAACCTCATGTGAGCAAAGGGCGTCTGCACACAAAGGAAGCAGTTAATCAGTGAGCAGTTAGCTCTGGGATGGGAGAAAGCCCTTGCCAGGTGTGAGCTAACACCGGGCTAATGTCTACAGTGCACAACTAACACCCAGACAAGAAACTAAGCAAGCCAATCAAAAAAGAAGCTAAGGAAACAAACAGTCCTCAAAACAGGAAACCCAAATATCCAATAAACACATGAAATATGTTCAGTCTCACGAGCTACCAAAGAGATGCAAGCTGAAACAATACTGAGATGCTACCTTCCTCTAGTCAGAACGGGGGCTGGAAAGGAGGTGGGCAAGGCAAGCCATTTCGGCACTGAGGGTGGAAAGGCAAGCCTGTCCATCTGTATGGAAACAAAACTTTTCAAATGCTTTCTTAGATTTCATTAATTTTATCTCAATTATTTATTGTTGCTGCTGTATTCCAAATCTGGAATCTTTTACTTTTTACAGAGATGGACAGAACCCAAAACCAGACCTACCATATGACCCTGCTGTCTCTCGAGAGCATTTACCAACACACTCCAAGCCAGCATATCAGATACTTGCTCCCCAATGTATTGCAACACTATGCACAACAGATACATTACAGAACCAACCTAAGTGTCTAAAACAGGCACAGTTAACGAACACGTGGGTGTACAAGTAAAATCCATTTCAGCCATAAGTTAGAACAAATGTACGTCATTTGCAGGAAAATGGATACAACTAGAGGCAATCATGTGAGTGAATGAAAACAGTCTCAAAGACAAATCTGTTTTCTCTCATATGTGCTTGTTGCTCTTACATAGCTACATAAGCTGCCTGTCTATGTGACAAAAAAGTAGAGGTGAACCCATGTAGAGGGGCAAAGAGGACAGCGAAGGGGGGGGGTACAGGAGGTAATATGCTTGACATATGATATATACTTACTTTAAAAACCTATAAAGTCCTGCAATTTTAAAGAAAGTCAAGGTTTTCTCTTACTCAGGAGGAAGGCTGTCATGATTAGCTTTGGAAACAAAACTTTTCAAATGCTTTCTTAGATTTCATTAATTTTATCTCAATTATTTATTGTTGCTGCTGTATTCCAAATCTGGAATCTTTTACTTTTTACAGAGATGGACAGACTCCTATTCCCCTCAAGCACTATGAAGAAAAAGGAAGCGCCCTCTAATTACCTCCATTGTCAGCTGTCGCTGGGCGTCTTTGGAAGCCTGCAGGTGAAGTCTTAGTTCTTCCTTCTCGATCACATGCTGAGAACACACAAGAGGGGCACGTGAGGCCACAGGGAGCATAAGTACCTCTTCCTTCAAAGACACACTAAGCGTGTCTATGTGGGGTAGTCTGAGCCTACAGCAGAGAACCCATCACAAGCTGACTAAGAGTGATAATTAAAAGCACATGTGTTCAGAGGATATAGACCATAAATTTGGCATTGATATCACAACCTTCTCAGGAAAATCTGATATATTTGCAAAAATAAATACAGCCTTGTTAGTTATTTATGATATCCCAGCAGAAGAGCAGCACAAAGAGGGACTCTGTTCAGAATGTAGCACTGACAATGCAGTGCACAGGACCCTGTTTAAGGAGCCTGGGCCAGCACTTGGGAGGCAGAGGCAGGCGGACTTTTGAGTTCAAGGCCAGCCTGGTCTACTGGGCTGAGGGTGAATGAACCCACCTCTTTCAGTTTGTGCTGGAGGTCTACGATCTGAGACAGCAGGGACGAGATCTCTTCTTGGTATCGAAGCAGCTCATCACTCTTCCCCGACAGCTCCTCAGTCATTCTGGACATCTGTGCGTTGGTCTCACCTGTGGGGAGAGGGAAGCATTTAGAACCAGCACAAAGTAGAATTAGAAGCAGACACTGATTTATAACAAGCACTGGAGGGCCATGAATAAAATTTTTTTAACATAGAAAAATAAGGGTTTTGCTACAACAAATTAATGCTCAATTGGAGAGAATGTTACAAATGAGAGAGATTACTTAAAAAAGAAGTGTTAAGGAACTTGTTCTTCATGACAAAGATTTTTGTGACAATTTTCATGAAAGGCTTAAAGGAGAGCTAGCTTCACCATGTATCTTTGCAAGTGTGCCATTAGGAACACTTCAGGGATATAAATAAAATCGCACAAGCAATGGAAGTCAATTTTCACAGGTCTAACAGAGGAAACTTAGAGGGGAACTGCTCCAGTCTAGGACAGACTGTGAGGAAACTACTGAAATGCTTCTGTAGGACAGACATTCAGGCAATGCCACCAAGCCAAGTGGGGCCCTAGACTAACAAAAGCCCAGTGTATGTACGTATAGATTTAAAGCAAAACCCTTAGAACTAGATTTGGGAAATCTTTATTTCATATAGCAAATTTCACACCCAAACATAAGCAGAAAAACTACTTTTCACTTTTTAAATTGACAGACATCCTCCCCCTATCAGAGGGTGGCAGCTAAGAACAGAAGGGACAGCAGAGCTCCCGGGACAGTCGATTCTCTGTTAAAGTGGGGAAGGTGAGTAATGAGGTGGAAGGGGGTTAGGTGAGTTCCTTCTGGATCGCCACTATTCTGTTGATCAAGGCATCCCATTTTGAGACCTACAGTGAAACGAACTGATGTGACATTATTGTCAGCATAAAGGGCTATATATTTATATTTATAGAGCAATTCAACAATCTCTTTCCATGATTTAATTTTTTTTAGATCACATTCCTTGAAAACGAAATACATCCCCTAACAACATAGCCAGCACCTAGTGAATGCTCACAGGTAGGCTGTGTGCCATCTTTAAGCTCTATCTCTACCACTTACAAGCTTTCTGACTTCAGTATAGTATATCCTCTCTTTGACTATTCCTGCAAATAAAATTACAGCTTTGCTTCTCTTTCTAAGATGCTACAGCTTACTATAGAAATTCAGGTCTTTACTTAATGAGAATGTTGGACAGAGCAGATAAGTATCTTAAAAACACATATGTGTCTTAATTAGGGTTGTGGACACAATGTGATATTCTGACTTTCAGTAACTCTGGGACAGATGATTCTCAGTTAAAATGGAGAAGATGGGTAATGAGGTAGAAGGTGATTCTCAAAGTTTGATTGGAAAGTTGGTCTCTGGTGAAGCTTGGTGCCCAGTGTGGTGGTGCTGAGGTGACAGGAGGCTTTACAGTACAGCTTAGCAAGAGGAATTCTGGTCATTGGGTACTGTCTTCAGAAAGGATCAACACTGGTCTCTCCAAGGGTGCTAGTTCCCTAAACAGCAAGCTGTTGTAAACAAGACTGTCTCATGTGTTTGTTTTTGTTTTGTTTTGCTTTTTGTCTTTCAAGACAGGGTTTCTCTGTACAGCCCTGGCTGTCCTGGAACTCACTCTGTAGACCAGGCTGGCCTCAAACTCAGAAATCCGCCTCTGCCTCCCAAGTGCTGGGATTAAAGGTGTGCGCCACCACCGCCCCGGCCTGTCTCATGTGTTTGGCTCCTTCTGCATAATGCTAGTGCCCTTTCTGTTTCTCCATCATGTTTAAACAATTAGGGGACCTCACGAGGCTACTTGACCTTCCAGCCATAGAACTGTGAGGCAGATAGCTGCTTTAGTTTGTAAGTAACCAGCAGCAAGTAGTTTGTTATAGTGACACAGAACAGACCAAGACAGCAATCATTTAGCACTGGTTCCATTGAAACTAATGGTCTGAGTTGGAGATAGTCCACTAAACTGCCCCAGAGCAGAGTATGTTACTACTTACGAAGTTCTTTAACACAGTCATTGACAAGCTGTTGTTCCTTCTCTTCATAGGTAAATGTTTCTGTCTTGATATGACAAGCCTTCAACAGAGAAAAGACAACCCATGTGACAACATTTCTTAATGAATTTGTAGTAAATGTTATGAAAAGCTTTGCCATTTGAAGAATAAAGTTCATCACTTATAAAAGAAACAAAGGTATCCCATCAGGTTTAATCTCTCACAAAATAAGGACTAGAAATGGTATGATAGACAAAGACCTCTCCCTTCACTGCACACAGGGCCTTCGCACAAGCCCGTTCGTGCATCTCCACCTCTGTGATGGCCCTCTAGCCTCAGCTAAGATGCCACCTGCTTGATTCATATCACTTTATAAACCCAAAGAAATTTGTAATTTTCTGACATAATTCTCTCAAAGTTGGTTTCTGTTAACTACACAAGATGTAAATACTCTGTTGCTGTTATTTTTATCTGTCAGTGTCTACCACATATTCTCAGCAAGCTCTGGGAGAAAATGCAAGGCATGGAGGTAATGCTATGCTGTGTCTCACCTCAGTATTCCCCAGACCTGAGCACAGAGTGTTGAAGTAAAGGAAAGTGGGATGCACCTTGGATCGAAGGGCCATGTTCTCTTCCTCCAGTTCCCTGAGCTTCTCATGCAGCATGTCCAGCTGCAGCAGACCTTGAGATAAGCTGAAGGACTCATTGAACCGAAGAGGCGTGGAACAGCTAGAATCAGTTTCACTCTCCTCGGAGGCAATGGAGACGATTCGGAGCAGCTCGTCTTTCTTGGATAGCTCGTGCTGCAGCTGATTAACCTGCAGAGTGTGAGCAGAGCAGTCCACACAGTTCTCATGCAGGATAGCTCCTAACCCACACAATAATTGTTTTTCGCCAGCAAAGTAGACAAGTGTGTAAACAGAGAAACAAAACTACATGCATATTGTTTCCTAAGCTACCCATTTAGGCCAGTAACTCAACAAATACACAATTCCAGAGCACGTATGAAGAAAGCCCTACATTACTGTTTTCATACTCCATAACACAGTAATATAAGTATCTTCAAAGCCTTATAAGAGACCCCACTTTAAAACTCATTCCCAGTCGGGCAGTGCTGGTACACACCTTTAATCCCAGCACTTGGAAGGCAGAGGCAGGCGGATTTCTGAGTTCGAGGCCAGCCTGGTCTACAGAGTGAGTTCCAGGACAGTCAGGGCTCTTCTAGAGAAACCCTGTCTCAAAAAACCAAACCAAACCAAACAAAAAACCCCAAAACAAACAAACAAACAAACAAACAAACAAACAAACAAACCATCTCATTCCCATGGCTTGTACTTTCTGTTCACCTAACCAGGGAGGATGGAGAGCCTTACACATGCTAAACACAACCACTGAGTTATAGCTACAGACCCATATGTTTTTCTTCTATTTTAAAATTTTATTTTATATTTTAATTTTCAAGTTTCTTGATAACTTGTCTAGGCTGGTCTTGAACTTGCAATGCTCCTGTCTCAGCCTCCAGAGTAGTTATGATTATAAGCTTGTGCTATCGAACTTGGTGATGACATATATGTTTAAAGATTTATTTTATTTATGTATATGAGTACACTATATATATGAGTACATGGCTGCTATCTTCAGGCACACCAGAAGGAGGCATCAGATCCCATTACAGATGGTTGTGAGCCACCATGTGGTTGCTGGGAATTGAACTCGTGACCTCTAGAAGAGCAGTCAGTGCTCTTAACCACTGAGCCATCTCTCTAGATCATGACTTATATTTTTAAGCTGTCTCTTACTATGCAAATCTTCCCAGTGTGGATGACCATATTTCTAGGAAATAAATATTTTCAACAGAAATGACCAAACATACCATAAAATACAAACAAAATCAGATAAAAAACAAGTTACTGCTAGGCATGGCTGTATATGTGTTTAATACCAGCACTGGGGAAGCAGAGGCAGATGAATCTCTGTGAGTTCAAGGCCAGCCTGATCTGTACAGTTCCAGGCCAGCTAGAGCTACATGGTTAAAAAAAAGAAGAAGAAGAAAAAGAAAACTTGAAATTTAATTATGCAACATATTAAATTACTTACTACATTTACACACACACACACACACCCAACACACACACACACACTGTTTTTTGCTTTGGATTCTGAGTAAGATGTGTAGTACCTTGACACCACGGGCTATGGAATAAAAAGCCCACTACCTCTCTTGGAGTTGTTGGTAAGTGAGGTCCCACAGGCCCTCACACATAGGCTGTAGCCACTAGTCTTGATCACCCTCCAGAACTTGATGGGAAGATCCTTTGCTGATGATAAATACCATACACTTGAGTCATCGACATGAAGCAATCAAGTTGGGACTCGCCTGGAAGTTTCATCCCCACAGTCTAGCTTCCACAGTGCTGGCAGGTGTTACACACTTGGGCACACAGCTGAGGACCCTGCCACTGACAACAACCAGCCTAGCAAGATATGCCTGCTGCTGCAGTAGCGGCACAAGTGTCACGGGAGTAACCAGCCTCTCTCTGATTAGATTTACAACTTGTTCCACAAGATGGAACTCATATGTGACAGCATTGTTTCAGGGCCAAGAACCCATGGTCAGGTGGGTCAGGGCTAAATAGACACAGTAGTAAACTAACTCCTCATGACCTAGCAGTACACTTTTACCAGAAAAGTTTCATTTTGCAGTATATGAAAATCATAAAGTCAAAAGGTACTGGTGTCATTTACCATTGTCACTATTTCAGAAGTATCCATGGAAATACATTTCTCCAGTATATAAGGCCTAATTTTTATTACTCCCATTCCACATACAAGGTCAAAGGCTTACTTGATCAAAGGCTTGTCCCAGCTGCTCCTCCAGAGCCTCATTTTGCTCAGATAAGACATGGTTGCGCTTTAGGAGAGCTTGCCCAATTCGAGCAGCTAGCTCTAGGTCTCGATCCCTCTGTAAAGTAACAAATACACATTTTCTTTGAGTATAAAAAAAAAAAAGAGCAAATTAGAAGTTCTGTAGTGAATTTTGCTAAGGATAAGAACAAATCTCCTATAAAGCACAGAGAGTCACTTTATGACTTATAAATAAATGAACAGGGGCCAGACACACAGGTAGTGTTTAGTAAATCCTAGTCAAATGGGGGACTGTATAGTTAGGAATGATATCACATGAGGTTTCACTGACATCCTATTCATTAGGCCTACCAATCCAACTTTGTACTTAAAACCTTAAGAAGCTGGAAAATCAATGTAGATTTTAGAGATGAGGGTGGGGGCTATGGGTGTGGCTCAATCAGAAGAGTGTATGCTTTTAATGCTTGGGGCCCTTAGTCAATCTCCAGTGCACCCCCCCCCCACACACACACAAGGAAAATATTAAAGTGGATTGAGCCTGTCCAGTAAAAGCTGAGCCAACATTTGTTGAGTATATCAACAAGGTAATGACATAGATTAGGTATTTAGGATATGAATCAGTGATGTATACTGGAACAGATTCATTTAGTGTAGACTATATGCATTTAGAAACAGTAGCATAGCCTACAGCCTGGTTTACAACTAGTGAAAGAATGACAGAGTTACAGACTGGGAGGTATGAGGTGATAGGCCCTCGAGCATGGAGAAGAGAGCCTGAAAAGCTGCTACTTATGAGCAGGGTGTGTGGGGTCCCCATCTCGTCATAAAGAGGCCTTATTTGTAGAATGGAAAATTGTTAATAAACTTGTAATTGCCTTCCATGAATATGAGTTCTTTTACATTAATATTAGATGAATAATGCTAAGCTTCTAACCTTTCTCTATTACATGAAAATCAAAAAGTTATCTCTACATATATGCATATATGGAAAGCATTTTGAGGATAGACATGTATGTCAGGGAGGTAGCCTTCATAAGGTCAACTGAAACTGAGCTATAAGACACAATACTGCTATATTCCACTGTCAAGTGGAAAAGATATGCTATATATGTTAAAACTTTCACATGGGGCTGGAGAAATGGTCAGCGATTAAGAGCACTGGCTGTTCTTGCAGAGTACCCAGGTTTGGTTACCAGCACACATGTGGTGGCGACAAACTATCTGTAATTCCAGTTCTAGAGGATCTGACACCCTCTTCTGACCTCTACAGGTACTGCACACACACAACCAGGCAAAAAAACAAAAAACCAAAAAACCACAAAAACAAAACAAACCTTCCACAGGCAAATGTAAGCTCAAATAACTGCCTGAGCTGGAAGGCAAAAAGGAGATGCTCCAAACTGCGGGTGGAATATATAGCTTTCTCGATGGGCAGCCGGGCTCAGACTCATTACCAGCAGGACAACTTAAAAGTGACTTTCTGGGAGCTGGAATATGGCTCAGTGATTACGGGTTTGTACCTGTGGAGGATCTAAATCCCAGTTGCAAACACTCATACAGACAGTCCACAACCACTTACTTTTACACAATTACTTTTTCCTAAGACAGGGAGGTCAGATAGCACTATATATGCCCATCCACCCATCAAAATAATGAGCTTCAGGAGCCCTTCTATTCAGGATGCCAGCTGGTATATCACTTATAACAATCAATTCAAAACAGTCTAGAGAACAGGCTGACCATCATGTTTTATCTGTGCAAACCAGACACATTCCAAATGACCCTCAAGCTTTAGTTTTTATACCAGAGAAAGAAAAGATCATGCCTACCTCTGCCAGGAGATGCGTGACCATGTCAATGTCATTGTAGGTTTTGGTCATCTGCTCTACTCTGTCTGTGCCTAGAACTAAGACAGTTAAAAATAACTCTTTATAAGCTTTACAAAATCAGAAAATCTAAATCACTCATAAAAGTCCAAACCCACCTAGTGTTTATAGAAGTCACTGAGGAGAATGAAAATACACATGAAAACAGAAAAAGAACAAGTGTCTGTGCACATAACCCCAGATACACCAATGTTCCAAAAAAAAGCACACACGCAATCAACTGAGAAAGTACCAATGGTCACAGGCAGCCTAGGCCCAACTACTGCCCCTAGGGAGGTAAATCTGGTCCGCTCGCCTTTAAAGGTGGGAGCTGAGAGGAGGGATTAAGTTATCTACTTTATACTCTAGTCAATTCAAGTTACTCAGGGGCTATGCTGCTATCACAGAACTCAATTACAAAGTCCTCACAAATTTAAAACGTAAGAAACAAAGACAAATGGTAATACAAAATAGTTTTCCTGTGGAAATTTCCAGAAAACATCAACAATAAGAGCAACACTAAATGGACCCAGTGTGGTGTAAACATACATATATGTGTTTATACGCAGTAAATATAACAGAAATGATAGAATAAGACGCCATGAACTTGAGGGGTACGGGAGTTGGGGGATTCAGTGAGGGGTGGAAATAACATAAATCATTACTTGTGTGAAAAGCTAAAAAAATTCAAACATTTTAAATAAAAAAGACAATCTTGAATGCCTTGATTTAACTTAACTTACTTCAGGTATTTTAAATATTAAGGGCAGAAATACACCTTTATTTGGCTTTCTTGATATTTCAAGTTTAAACAATATTTACACCCCCAACTCACTCTTTCTGTTTATCTCTCTCTGACACACACACACACACACACACACACACGAGAGAGAGAGAGAAAGAGAGAGAGAGAAAGAGAGAGAGAGAGAGAGAGAGAGAGAGAAAGAGAGAGAGAGTCCTAAGAAATTGCTTGTGTTCTAGGAAACTACCATTCAGAGCAGGTTAATAATTACCAAAAATAACCATTAAAAGAAAAGAGAGAGAAGAAGAAACAATCACTCTCGAACAGTGTGTCATTAAAAGATGGCTGAGCTGGCTAAGGCACTTTTTGCCAAGTCTGATGACCTGAGTTTGATCCCTGGAACCCACCTGGTGAAAGGAGAAAACAACTCCCATAAACTGCCTCTGAACTCCTCCACATAGATGATGGCGTCCCTCCCTACTATAAATAAATAAAATGTAATAAAAAAGGCTAAAGTACTCACTGGAAAACATATAAGATTTGATGTAATCTCCTAAGTAAAATTATAGGAATCTCACAAACATACCAGTGCTGAGCTCAGAGACTTTTGTTACATATTCTAACAGCTACTACGTACATTACATTTTTACACTGAATGAGTAGTAAAACACATTTTTAAAGAATCTGAGGAAGGGAGAGATGGCTCAGAGGTTAAAAGTACTGACTGTTCTTTCAGAGGTCCTGAGTTCAATTCCCAGCAACTACATGGTGGCTCACAACCATCTGTAATGGGATCCAATGCCCTCTTCTGGTGTGTCTGAAGACAGTGACAGTGTACTCATATAAATAAATTAAATAAATCTTTAAAAACAAAAATACAAAAAGGAAATCAAACTAAAATAAAATGGAAGTAGGGCTCTGTATTTGAGACAAATTTGGTTCAAATGTTCAAAGCAGACCAGGCTACATAACAGTTTGTATTTAAAAAATAAAATACAATGTACTTTTGTATCTAAGAACTGTGCTCTTTAAGGAATGGCGTAATTCCTGGGACTGTGTTTAGTAAGGAAATATGGGAACCAAAAAAGCTAACTCAAGATATCGAAGTACTAGGATAATAAATGTTGGTAGACAACATACAAATACACAATTATAAATAATTGCACTACTTTTTAAACAGTTCTCTTCTCTCCTCACCCTGAGAAAAATGTCAAGTAAAAGACAAAGGGAGTGTTAACGTAAACTGTTTGCAATAATTCTTTCTCAATCATAAGCAACAGTCCTCTCAGACGTGACAGCTGTAACTCTCCCGTCAGATCAGGCTGAGTTAAAGCAGGTAGACACTGAACAAGGACTACTAAATGCCAACTGTTCTACAAGGCAATGCAAACACCCCTGATCTTAGCCCCATGCACAAAAATGGACAGATTAAAAACAACAAACAAACAAACCAAACTCACTCATGTATCGGAATGTCTCTTCAGCAAGGACTGGAGAGAGGGTCTCCGGCGCATCCTGCTGCTGGTGTGATGACTGTGCCCAGTCTTGGTTTTCATAGAGAAAGAGAGAATCTACTCTTAGCTTATACTGTGGCAGCTGTTCTTCTAGCAAGTTCACCAGCTCGACTTCAGGGAGATCCTCGTTGGAGCAGACATCTAAGAATGAGAGTCCCCATGGAGTGAATGAATCTAGGCTGTTCCACTTAGCAAGCTGCAGTGAAATTAGTTCTTTGAAAGCAGGCAACCAGAGAAATGTAGAACAAGATCATTTCTCCCCGACTTTTTATTAATATCTTCTAGTATCTCAGTTTGCTTTCTAGATTGCTTTGAAAAGAGAATTTACAAAGTAAAAATCATATTAATAATTTCAATTATATGCTGCCTAAAATATATTTCTTATTGAATATAAGCATGTTTTGGAATTTTAAAATGAATCAGAATATGTTTCTTATTTCCTTCTTTTTAGTACTACATAAACTCAATCTATTTCAGTTTATACATTTGGGGGTTAGGGAAAGGAACAAGAAAACCAGAGGAAAACAGTCAATTCATAAGGGATAGAAACTATATTTTCCTTAGTAATAAAATTAGGACTTTGTGGGAAGACTCTTCAAAATCTGGAAACATTATATTTTAGTGTCTGTTCACAGCATCTAGACACAGAACAAGCATTAATGTTTACTGAGCACTGGAAGTAGAATATATATTTTATCATTTTTACTCTGAAGATGGATATATTACATAAGAAGAAATATGAAACTGGAGCCCTCGAATTTGGTGAGATACATGGAAAAAACCCAACCTGTAGGTCAGCTCCTGCAAGCCCTGGCTCTGCACATCCCACGTGCCCCGGGTGACTTCTAGCCTCCACTCTTCCTTCCATCTGTCAAACTGAGAGGGTGACTAGAGGTACCTGAGCTCGATGGCAGTTGTGAGAACAAAGTGATGACAGTCCATGAAAACTCTTATACCTGGAGGTAATGCCAGCCCCAGGTGGAGACACTGTTTAAATGTTAGCTTTCTCTTTTTAAAAGATTATTTTTCTTCTCCTGTGTGTGTGTCCTGCTGTGCATGTGGAGTTCAGAAAACAGCATGAGGTGTTGGTCCTCACCTTCTACCCTGTTTGAGTCGGGGTTTGCTTTCTGTCATTGTGCAGGTGTGCCAGGCTGGACAGCCCGCAGCTTCCGGGGACTTTCCTCTCTCCTCTACCTCATCTTCTCTTTGAAGTTCCTCATGCATGGTGCGTGACAAGAGCCACTGAGCCGTCGCCCTGGCTTAGCTCTCTTTATTATTGTTTTACTACTGAGTCTTTAGACCTTGTTTTGGTCAGTGTTAATTGTCAACTTGGAGAATCTATGATCACCTGGGAGACAGGCTTGGAAATGCCTCTGCAGTATTATTTTGATTACATGAATTGAGGTTGGAAGGCTCACGCACAAATTCTCACACACTGCTTCTGACATACCATACATACTTCTATTCAGAGCTAAATTCTCCATGTGCTGCCCACTGTCCTGTTTTTCAGGACCTTGATGAGCTTCTTTCTCTACTGCGTCATCTACAACTGACATCAATCAATAGAAAAATCTCAGAAAGCACCTGAAAGCTACAAAAGAACAAACTCAATTCATCTGAAATTCTAGTACATGCAAATTTCATCCACAGAAGGACTGAGCGGGCTGAGGGCTGTCTGCAGCTGGAAGTGAGGGCTAAAGATCTGGATGTGAGAGAACTTGCTTTATAGACCTTGACTGCACTGGTTACATATTGGTCAAGACTCAACGCTATGTTTAACATGGGCACTGTTTTCACACCTTAGCAAACATATGATAATAAAGCTGGATTTAAAAAGACAGCCTTGGCTTCATCTGGGTTTCAGGAGAATTCAGAAGGTTCTGGACTTAAAGCTTTAGAAAAGCAGGACTATGCACTGACAGTGGTTAATAACACCATGTTTCATAACAACTGGTTCTGGAGGAGTATATAAATACATTCACTATAGTAATATATCTTTAGCAAATATAAATCTAATAAATGAGATAGACTAGAAAAGGCTACACAAGTCAGGTTTTGTGAGCTACTGATTATCACTATGCTGATGACAATGATGTGTCTACAGGGTACGTGCAGGCACATGTGTGCCACAACACTCATGTGGAGGTCAGAGGACAACCTTCAGGAGTTGGCTCTTGCTTTCTGCCCTTGTTGGGGCAGGGTTGCCCTTGTTCTGCTGTGCTGCACAAGTCAGGCTAGTTGGCTGCTGCGCCTCAGGAGGGATGCCTCCCTGCCCCCACAGGAGTGCTGGGATTACAGAAGCATGCTGCTGCGTACAGCTTGTTTTGTTATATGGATCTGGGGCTTGAACCTGAGTTGTGAGGTATGACTGGCTACTTCCTTCCTCACTGAACCATCTCCTAGTCTCCATTTAGTGAGGTTTAAAACAAAAACTTTAGGAAAAATACTTGTGAGTATTCTGAGTTTGTAAAAAGAATTTATCACGTACCTATTTTTCTGTGTCTATGTGAGTATATGAACATGTGTATATGTAGATATGCACATATGGAGACCAGAAGAGGGCACTAGATCACCCCTTTGCTATCACTATCCTCCTGCTCCTTAGAGACAGGGGCTCTTCCTGAATTTGGGGCTTATGTCTTTTAGCTGCGGTAGAAACCAAGCAAGCCTCAGAGCTTGTCTGTCACTGCCACCCTCCCTGAGTCTGGTGCTACAGGTACGGACAGGGCACCCCCCCAGCTTGTTACCCAGGGTCTGGGATCCAAACTCTTGTCCTCATGGCAGCACACCAAGTTCTCTTATGTTCCTTTATTTTTATTTTTTAAAAAATTATTTATTCTTGCAGATATAACATCAAGGGCCTATAACTTTGTCTACATACCCTTCCAAATCCCAGGGGCCTCTAGTGTGCCAGGTACTGTGGTCAGATGTGTGTAGGTACATCAACATAGTGAGCTGAGCTTCTAATCCCTGCTCACAGGGGCTCAGTGGCTGGATGGGAGTCAGGCACAAAGAGCTGCATAGAAGGCAGGTTTTGCTAATGTGAGAGGAGGCCAAGGACAGATGGCCCAGTCAGTCTGTCTCAGGGACCCAGGCTGCAAAGGGAGGATGGGGCTTCGTCACGCAGGCCAGAATGAAGAACGTGCACTTTGTCCTTAGGAAATAACACTTCAACATTATCAAAGGGAACTCACCAGTGATGCTCTCCGAGTCTCTATGATTGCTACTCATGAGGTTTTCTTCACCTGTTTGTGATTTGAAAATGGCATTCTGGGATTGACTCATGCAGAATCCTTTCCTGCTTTGGTTGAAAGGGGCAGCTTTCGTAGGAATCGGAGTAAAGGAAATCCATTAAGCCATTTAGTAAAGAAATGGATGTGGTCATATGGATATTTTCTGTAGGACAGATTTTCTGCGATGAGTCAGGTGACATCTGCAGCTGTAAGTGCTCTCATGTGGTTACAACCCTTGGACAGTCATGGCCTAAAACAAGAAACAGAGCGGGTGGTTACAATTCAGCATGCTCTTTAAAAACAGGACTCTAATTACCTGGCATGCCTGTCATTAAAAATGTTTTTCTAAGATATACACAACAACATGAGTGAACCTCAATGCCAAAAAATAAAAAGAAAGAAAGAACGAGAGAAAGAAAAGAAAAAAAATCAGCTCATGGTTTATGATTGCATTTTCATAAGACTTCAAAGAAAAAACCACCACCAGCGACACATCTACAGTGCCAAAAAGCAGATAAATGGTGGCTGGGTTAGGAAAAGACTTAGGCACAGGAGAAGAGTTTGGGGAATGACACATGTAGCCCTAGTGATGGCTTCAAATATGCATGAATATGATGCTGAATGTAATCCAATTACACAGCGGAAGCATGATGTTGGTACATGTTACACTTCAGAATGGCTCTACATTTTTATAGAAGATCAACTCTTCACCACACTGACTTATCATAGAGAAGTGAAATGCAGTGCAGCAGCGCAGGCCTGGGCGACATGGAAGCCCACGCTTGCTAGGTCTTTATACTGTATGTGGGACAGTGAAATGCTACTTGAAAGCAAACTGAGATGGTGGAACCATGTACATGACAAACCAAAAGCAACTAGTGCAGTAACTCAAGAATTGCAAATAGTCAATAAAAGGGACAAAATGGTGTAAGTTGTTCAACTCCAGCCACAACTGGCATTTGGGTCATTTGTGTGGACCATACTGGATGGACCTTAGCAACACTTCCCGAGTCCTGACTAGGTGCTAGCAGAACCTCCTTTCTAGGCCTTCTCTCGATTCAACAGGCAAAATGTCTCCAGACACTGCCAGATGTCCCTGGAGGCAAAATTTCTCCTGGTGGAGAACCATTGATAAAAAAAGAAACTCAACATCACTCAAAATAAGTAAAAATGTAAATAAACTATTTTTATTTGCTAGACTATCAAATGCTAAGCTTTACTCATTATTGGATAGAGCCTAGAAAAAAGGCTGTTTCAAAGCTCTACGATGACAGTGTGAATTCCTACAAGATTTTAGAAAGACTTTCCCAAAGTCTGCCAAGCTTTAAATGCACAGGAACTGCAGCTCAACAATTCTACCAACAGAATTTATACAATGTAGATATTCACAAAGCATGCCCAGACATAGAGACAAGAATGCCCACACAGTGAGTATTGACTTAAGTAAATATGACTTAAGTATTTTTTTCAGAGGCACACATACAAGTGGAATGTCTATAACGATATGTTTTAGAAACACATATATGTAATGCACCATGTTTAGTGGTGTAGTAATGTGCAGGAAAGGAGTCAGAATCCAGCCCAGGAGCACTGAGCCCAATACTCAGGAGGTGGAGGCAAAGGACTGCGAGTTGGAGGCCAGCTTGGGCTACAGAAAAAGTTTCAGGGGAGCCTACACAACTTAATGAGACCTGGTTTCAAAATAATCAAAGAGCTAGGCATGGTGGCACACTCCTATAATCCCAGCACTTGGAAGGCCAGAGGCAGGTGGATCTCTGAGAATTTGAGGTCAGCCAGTACTATATAGTGACACATCATAAAGAAACATCAAAACAAAAGAAAAGAAGCAAAGGTTGTAATGCAATACACACACACACACACACACACACACACGTACGTAAATACGTAGGTATGTAGTAGGCATATATACACATGCCTACTACATACATATATATTAGTTATATATCTATGCCTACTTAAAACAGAGAACAACAAAAAGCAGGAACTTTTCAGGAACTTATTCAGCTGGGTGTGGTGGTATGCATCTGTAATCTCAGCACTAAATGGGGAGAGGCAGGAGAGCCGTGAATTCAAGGCCCCTGTGAGAGATGGGAGTGGAAGAAACAGGGTGTTCAGTACTAGCTAGAAGCTTTGCTTTACATAAAGACATCTGTTGAGCAGTCATAGCTGCTTCTGTTAGGACTAGTGCATCTTCAGGAAGCTATGCCTTATGTCTAAGAAGTAGAGAGCAGAGAAAAGAACAGCCAGTGAAGAACAGAGACACACTTAGAAACATGAGGGAAGCAAGTCTCAGAGACAAAGTGAGCAACAGAATCAGAGAAGTCAAAGGGGAAATTTGAGAGGCTTAAAGATGAATGAATAGTGACCTTTTGGAGAACATTGTAGTTCAACAGTTAGATCTCAAACCAGGCTGGTAAACAAATTACAAAGTAAGAGAGGAGTTTAGTGAATACAGACCAGAATTTCCCAACACCTAGACTTTCAGATTTTCACAAACTGGCACACTTTAAAAACGTCTGTGGTCAGTGGCACAGGGTTTCCATTTCTGACCGTTTCTATTACCTCCTTTCCTTTTGAGATTTTATTTTTATTTAATGAATGTGTTTGCCTGTGGAAGAGATCCCCCCGGAACTGGAGTTATAGACAACTGCAAGTCGCCACGCAAGTGCTGGGAACTGAACCTGGCTCCTCTGGAAGAGCAGCCAGAGCTCTTAACTGCTGAGCCATCTCTCCAGACCCATTCTATTACTTAAAACATTTTACAAAAACCCAAACCAAAAACAGAATAAGCACCAGTCCCTTCCCCACAAAAAGTTTATAATTTCATGCTTGCATAACAAAAATTCAATTTTCTATAATTGAATTCTGATAATTTTAATAAATACTTCACATTTCTTTTACATGTGCAATTATTTTCCTGGGGTAAGTTTGCAATTCAGTAACGTGGATTAGCCAGTGCAACATTACGCAAAGCTTAGGATATTTGCTAGGTACCGTGACTCTTGTCATCGAAGATCATTTTCAAGTTCTGAGGACACTCTATTGTATACATTTGGCTTCCCCATAGTATCTTGCTATTCAGAATTGTGATTTCCAAACCAACCATCACAAAGGGAATAGAAATATATTTAGATGAAACCAATAAAGATTCACCTCCTGAGCTGGAGAGGAAGAAGAAAGAAGCCTCCTCTGGGCATATCACATCTAGGAACATAGATGAAATGTTAAAGATGCTCTGTCAACATCTGTGACCTTTCTATGTTGTATTCATGTCAGATATACTTTTTAATCCACCTTTTTAAAAGTTAAAAATACCCCAAACCTGGACGTGAAAGAGTTAGAATCTAGGGACACAGGAGGTAACTCAGTGACGAGCCTGGTATGCAAGCCCGAAGATGAGGCCCATTAGGAAGCCTGGCATAGTGGTTTGTGCTTATCACCCCAGTGTTGGAGAGGCAAACAAAGCTGGATCCCTGTAGCATCACAATCAACTACCCTAGTCTATAGGGTGAGTTCTAGGCCAGTGAGAAACCGTCTGGAAAAATAAGATGAACAGCTCCTGAGGAACAACCCCATCTCTCACCCCAGGCACAGGAACCTGCACACCTGTGAACACAACATATACATAAAGAATCTAGTAATGTATTTTAAAAGCTAGAATGGCACTGGAGATATAAGAATGACCTTGTCATCAGGCAGCTTGTCTGGTGAGTGGCCAGCATACTACTGCCAACATCCATATGCAGTCTGTCACCTGTTTTTGGCTGTACATACACAGCTAGCAAGATATTAGACTATCACACATACACACATCTGATATTTGACAGAAAACTCTTCCTAACCCTTGATCGATATTAAAATAATTCAGTCATCAAAATACTACTATGTAAAACTAAGGTTTCCAAGATCAAGTTCTGAAAGCTAGGGGTCCTTCTACACACACACACACACACACACACACACACACACACAGCTTGTAATTAGACTAAAGGAACAGACTTCTACCTCTACACCCATAAGTGTATTTAAAAGTTAAAAGGCCTTTTTGAGAGTAGAAAGCTACACACTTGTCTGTGAAGGGGTAGAGGGCAGTGAAGAGAAAAGGAAAATGTACAGAACGGAAGGATCTCTAACTGGTCATGTTGATCCTTTAACAGAACTGTGGTTTTTCTTCTTCTTCAAATCTCGACTTGCCCAAGACCACTGTGAAACCTCCAGCTGGAGCCTTGAGGCCACTGCCGTCGCTCTGTAACACACCAGTTGCTTTCTCCTTACACTTCCGCTGTTGTAAGATATTATTTCCTGTATTCCTAGCTTACTCTGAATACACTACACTGTGGAAGAGGATGACCTTGAACTTTTCATTATTCTGATTCCATGTCCTAGAATTACAGGTATGAGCCTCTATGCTGTTTCCCTTCCTTTCTCTATTTCTTTCTTTTTGAAAAACAACAACAACAACAACAACAACAAAAACCAAGCATGTATATGAGTGTTCTGTCTGCATGCATGTCTGTGCACTATCTGCATGCCTGATCTCTGACAAAAATCAAGAGAGTGTCAGATCCCTTGAAACTGAAGTCATTGACAGCTGTGAACCAACACGCTGGGGATTGAACCCAGGTCCTCTGAAGAGCACCCAATGCCTTTAACCTCTGAGCCACTTTGCTTTTTTCTATTTATACATATTACACCTAAGAATACAAAAGTTTATATACAAGTTTTGATCATGGGTCATACACCTGTGTTGTAGAGGTCACTGTTTAAATTAGCTTTGCAGTTTTGTAGGTAATTTGTTCTCAGCACTTGCATACAAGTAGAGAAAACTAGAGTGATCACAGGACTAAGTCCAGGTGAAAGTCATTCAGAAAGAATTCAGACCTCCAGGGCGATCTGGGGACCTGCCCAGTCTGCACATGGCACACCAGGTCAGGGGTGATTTAGTAATGCAGCATTTTTTCCTGGGAACTCCGCAGAACACACCCCAATTTAACTTGATCCTCTTAGCAAGGTCAGTTCACAGTGGCAGAAGTGACTGGAGTACTGTTTATATATCTTGATGTTAGAGCCGGAATTTTACTCTGATTTACTGTGATTCTGATCTTGTGCTCATTGCTTAGTATTTCAGAATTTAATTTTAATTTTTTTTTGCCAAGATGGGGGTATTTACAAATAAGAGAGGTCAGATATAAAGACTAAATACAAAATAAAAATCCCTAGTTTGGCAGCTGAGACAAAGCAGACACTCACATGCTCATTCTCTTCAGCTTTTCTTAAGCCTGAGGAAGTGTCTACATCTGAAGTTCCTGCACGTCCGAATACAGAACAGGTACAACTGAAGATCAGCTGAGTAATCTTCCTTCTGAAAGAGACAAGGACCAAGAAGATCCAACAAATGTCCTAAGGCTGGCCACTGGGGGTTATCACTAGAGTTCATCCCCCATGGACTCGCAGGAAGCTTATTTGTAATGCCAAGTCTTACAAGACCATAGCATGCTGGCCAACTACATAAGCACTCCCTGAAGCTCTAACTTAATGCTCAAGCACCATCAACATGTGACTTTCCAGTTCTGGAGTCAGAGGAAGGAACCAGCATCACTGCTTGGTACCAAGGTGTCACCAAGGCCATGCTCCAGCGAAAAGCTTAGTCCCTTGCTTTCTAGCTGCTGCAGCTGCTTCTCTTGGCTCTGGGCCTCTTCTACTATTCTGATAGCCAGCAGCACGGAATCCTGGAGCCTCCTCCTCTGCTTCTATTGTCACATTACTGGCTTTTTTCTCCTTATAAGAAACCTATAACCAATGTTTTAAGGCCCAACTAGATAACCCAAGATAAACTTCTTCTCAAGATCCCGTCTGCAAAGTCCCTCTGCCTCAGGTAACATTCACAGGTTCCAAGAAGTTGGATCCTGATGGCTGTGATCCAGGTGGCCACAGTGGCTCAGAATGTGAATCCCAGTGCCAACATTTACTGGTTCTATGACCTGTCCTCTCTTCCCTCATGTGTCCCCAATGGGTAGAACTCAGATGACAGTCTTTCCGGCTGAGCCATCTCTCAGCCCTGGAATTCTGCACAAACTACGTTACCATGTTTCCTTTGCTAAATGGGCTTACTAACAGGATCTACTTCTGGGGCTTTGCGATGAGGATGGAGGGGGTTATGAGAGCAGTAGCCTCAGAGGCTCGCTGGGGCAGTCACATAAGTGCTGCAGTGTGCTATGCTACTGTTATTTCCACCATCACTAACAGAACAACAGAAAGGCTTACCATCCACAGCTTAATGCCATCTTCTCCCAGCACAAGAAGTCATGCTTCCTAGCTATCCTCTGACAGTGACTTGCTCTGGGAACATAGTTTCCCTTTGATGTCTATGGAACAGGAAGCACAGTGCAGAGTCCCAACTCTCAGAAACTGAACTCTGGCAAGCGCTCACAGTAGGTCCTCAGCACCTCTGTGTTCTCCCTGTGTCACCATCTTTCTCTGGTGGTACTTTATTTAATCTTTTCAGAAACAACTGCTTTTTTTTCCTCTACAAGCTACCAAGTCAAGCATGGCACATTTAACAAGAAACAGACCTCTGTAAATCATGCACATTTAGGAGAAAATCAAGTAAAATAATCAACTAAATTGTTTAAAGAAGAATGGGACTCAAAATGAACCAACAAAACATGTCACTGCTCTAATTATTGCTGGGAGAACACATCATGACTAAGAACTGAGTTAGCTCAGCCACGGAACTCAATGGCCGACACTGATAAATATAGGCAGTGTACCTAAAGAAGAAGTTGATACTTCCTTAAAACAGGATACTTTGGCAAAACAGACTCATGGAACAGACTAGAAACTCAAGGAAATCCATCTTATGGGAAGGCAGGGCCTGGAGTTACAGCAAATACAGATGTAATGAAACACTGAAAATATATCTCAAATTTTTTTTTACAAACAATACTTTGGGGATTAATTAGAAATTCATATTGGCTACTAAGTTGTATGTAAGAGTGGGAACAATGCCAATCAAGGACCTGCAACAGCTCCTCGGGCAGAGGCAAACCAAGCTGGGCCACAGATATGCTTTTAAAAATGAAATAAATTTATCTTACTTCTATATGAAATAATTAACTTTTGACCAAGACTAACTGGTTGCAACATATCTGGCCATACTTTGGGCAAATTTGCTGAAACATCACAGGAACTATTGGACCACACCAGGACTGTCATGACTTTAGAAAGGCATGGGGAATGTCATCCCCCAAATCGAAAGGGGCCAGTGAGCAGTAGACATCTTGAAGGTGGAGAACACGTACTGCGCCCAGCAGTGAGGTGGCAGCAAATGGGCTTCACCCAGCACGGCTGCCTTAGAAGCTATCTGGGCATGTTCCTCTGTTTCCTATTGCCTTTCAATTTAGTGACTAGAAGCGTTTTCATAATATGAAATATATGGAAGCAGCTTCTGCTTATAGACAGACTGGATCCCAAAGGCTGTTGAATCCATGAGTTAAGCATCCCAAACCATGAATAAGATTCAGGCTTTGGGGTCAACATCTCCTCCTACAGGATATATTTTGGGCTTGTTTGCCTGCTAACATCAACATCTGCTGAGGTAGGTGACTCCTCCCTGCCACAATCTCCACCACCAGAAGGGAGGTGACCTCTGGCAAGGAAAGAGTCCACACCAGAGCTTCACCTGAAGATAAGAAATGCTTGAGCCCAGGGCACCATCTGTGGGTTTGATAAGTTTCCACAGATGCCCTCTGTCATCCACTGTGCACACTTAGCCTTTAAGCTCTTACATCCTAAGCTTGACCTGAATTCCCCTCTGAGGAGGCAGTCACTGCTAGCAGTGGTCCTCTGCCCATACCACTTCAGATTACCTGGGTTTTTTCACCCCTGGCTGCTGACCATTAATGGCAGAGGCCTCTATCTTCACAGAACTGTCCTTCATAACCATCTCTATTATGTAGTGCCATGTGTGAGCTGACATTTTAATTTTGTATGCTATTCCTACTTCGAACCCACAAATCTGTTATTGCCACTGCTTTTAAGGCAAAGGGAAAATTGTAACATTTATATACTTTTTGAAACATGATCTTGTGTAGCTCAGGCTGTCTTCAAACTTGCTACACAGCTAAGGATGATCCTGGATTTCTAATCTTCCTGCCTCCAGCTCTTGAATGATGGGATGACAAATTTTGTGCCACCCTGCCTAATTCACTCAGTGCTGGGGTTGTCCCCAGACCTTCATACACACCCATCAAACACTCTACAATGCAACTCACTCAAAACCCCAGTTACAAGTTATAAGGAGGGTCTGTGCTTCAGAAGATTTGTAAGGAAGTTAATCTACAAGACGAGGGCAAGGCTTCCTGTCCTGCCTACTGCAACATGTAAGGGGTTGGCTGCTTGCCACACACTGAAGAAACTTGGAGAAGTTTGGCCTGTTACCTCCTAAACAAAGACACATGCATTGTCTGTAGTTTTGAAGCTGTCCAGCTCAAACTACCAAAGCAGCAATGGATACTGTTCTCTGTGTTTTGTTCAACAAATGGAATGGGGGAGAAAATAGGAGACTGCTGATAAGTATCTGTGATTCAAGACCTTCAAATGACTCCATGATTCTGTCCTAAATACAGTTGAAAGGTCTAAAAAGCAACAATGAAGCAGGCTTTGTAGGCAAGGCACATGAGCGAGCGCTCACTCACAGAAAAGCAGCTCTCTACAGTCATTTCATATCCACGGGGGACACCCAAAGCAAAGGGCTATCATGACCTTTTTTTTCAAAAAGGCAAAGTGTGATCTTTACTGGATATTTAAATATTATATCTTATCCATCTTGAAAATTCAAATTCTAGGTGTGCTGGATACTAAATATTTCATTAAAGAGATTACTACCACCCTTGGATTTTATTTTTTATACTACAAATTCTTAGTACCATAAAAGCCAAGCATGTTAATGTATGCACATACTGGTATTCAAAAGTTGAAAGTAAGAAATATTAAATACAGTCCCTCTTTATGTATGCGGGACCATGAGACAAGCTAACCGTCATTGTAGTGAGGGGCCATGAGACAGTCCACACTAAACAGCTGACCATCATTGACTTTTCACTAGTTCTCCATATTCTTTAATTTGTAAGGAATTGACACTGATAAATAATTGTATTTGGTTAATTTAATCTCACTGTGTTTCAACTACCTCAATATGGAAATAGGAACAGTATTTACCCTTTATGGGATTGTTATGTGCATTAAATAAGTTACTATTTGTAAAACATATGTAATAGTATTTAATACATTGTAACTATTATCTATTTAATGTTAAATTGTTTGTGTGTGTGTGTGTGTGTGTGTGTGTGTGTGCAGTGAACATACAGAAGTTAAAGGACAGCTAGAGTTAGTTCTTTTCCTTTCACTGTAAGTTCTGGGGATCAAAGTCAGATCATAGGCTCGAGGATCAAGTTCTTTTACCAGCTAAGCCGACTCCTGGTCCAATTATGTTTAAATAAATAGTGTAAACTTAAGTACTCAAGTGGTAGAAACATAAATTGGAAATAAACCATTCCTGGCACCTGGTCATCTGACATAGAAGATACATAACTCGGAGCAGTGTCTATCCACGTACCCTGCTAAGAGCCCTTCTCAAATGCTCACCCCTTTTACAGCAGCCTGCTATGCAGTCTCTGGAGCTGCTACTAGCCATGATGTAGGGGCTCAAAGAAGAACCACATGGCTCTGTAACTAGTGCTCTAAAAGAGCTTCTCATACAAAATTCTTTCTGATAAAAAGCTTACCACAGAATCCAGACTGCTGGAGCCATTCAAAGACTATCAGGAGCAACTTGGCATCCTCACACCAAGAACTTCAACTCCCTGGTTTATTATCTACTCTAAAGAAATGTGATGTCAACTATAAAGAGACATGGCTGAGATTGTTTCCTATAGCACTGTTCATGACAGGAAAACAAGGAAGGCCTACTCTTCAAAGCACAGGTAAAATGTGGTAGAGACACACTGTAGGGCAACACGCACCAGAATCAAATGCTAAGTGAATAAAGCAACAATCAATTCCACTTATCACAAGTGAAATATTTTTCATATTTATTTTGTATACTTAGTATTTATAAATATATTGAAATGTTTACCTTTAACATGAGGAAAATGAAACTTTGATGGTATAGGGTTAAAGAAAGAAGTATTAAAAACCTATGAAATGTTTAAAACCCACTGCTCTTTTGGTAGTCAGCCATATAATTACTGTTACACCCCTTCCATTCTTAAAGACTACGCTTGTTCCTGGACACATCAACATGCACTAGATGCCCTGGTTACAGCAACACAAACAAGTTCTTTAATGTAATCTATGTGACAC